AATTGACCAATCTTACGGCTTACGACGCTTATTGTAGGCCTTACAAATCTTACACGTCTCCTGCGATATTCGTGGTCAATATTGACCAACACTGATCGTATGAAATTGTAACGAGTAAACTAAGGATAAGGCGATTAAGATAACTCAGAACAATTGGCTAAATAAATATACACACAGAGAAATATCATTCTACTGCTAAGGAGAACGATCGCTCAGTTTACTTTTCTTCCTTTGAATTGGTTATCTTCAGAAAACATTTTCTTGAGAATAGCCTGAACTCAACAAAGAGGAATGACAAGTCTTCCGCATCAATTGAATATTATGTTAATTCGATATTGTCGCGAGAGTGCTGTTCAGATGTTCAGATATACATCATCCGCGTTTCAATGAACGCGTCATTCGTGTACTTTGCGCTTAAGACGCTCGCGCGTTTTCTCTCAGGCGTATTATTCGAAAAACTTGAGGCATTCTTGCATTCGGACAGATGCTCGCCGTCGGTTCAATATCTCTCGGAAGTATCAACGGGAATAAATTTCAGATATCGACGCGATAATTTCATTCTCCCGAGCGAAAGAATTTCCGAGTCACGGTGCAAACGGGAAAGCGAGAAACGCGCGAAGTTGAAGTGTAACGCATCAATCTTTGCCGCGGCTACGTACCGGCGGCAGGTGAAGTTCGGGTTTGTTTTGCCGATGTGTTGCCAGGTGTTTAAACTAAAAGCTAATTTTGCGAGGCAAATTCCTTGATTTTCGCCGCCGCGGAATAAAGCGAATTTGCGGCGAAACGGGGTGCATTTTATTGCGGAAAAAATGCACGTAGGATTGTACGATTTAACGACATTCAGGCACCACGACTCGTTGATTTTCCGCCATCGATTCATCGGTTTCCCGAATCCCGCGGGCTCTCATAATTTCGAATAACAACAAAGTTCGGCGACTATGAAGGAAAACTTCTCGCAATTCAATTTGCTCCTATCGGTTCTCGAGACTTGGACGTGCGGCGGAAATGTCGCTCAAACTCGAGGGACTGCGTCCCGACACAGTCGCTCGGGATATTTGTTTATTCGAACGTTCTATCAGGTGTCCGTGATAGTTTCGAACGGCTCTTATGCGCTCCTCCCTTCGCTCCTTCGCGTAAGAGGATGCTAATCTTTCGATTTGTCTCCTGCAAACTAAAATAGATAATGGACTGCTGTTTGCGCGAAGGTACATTTCAGTCCAAACTTTTACGCTTCTCGCGATGGCGGATCTTAGAAATTTGCACGAACTTCGCAATTAGTAGTTGAATACATCACTTCTATCCTGTCTACATAAAATCTCTTTTGAGGAAAATGAGAGATAAAACTTGCAAGAGAGAGAAACATTTGCGTATGTCTTCAAATAGTTTCCACGTTGGAAATAATTTTTTCTTTAAAATTCAACGTACATTGGATTTTTTAAATTCTGTTTATACTCTTTGCAGTTTCCTGCTTTTTGAAATTAATCCACGAAACATTGATGCATCCAAAATGATTCTCGCGACTCAAGGAGCATTGTTGAGTCTGTACTATTAGATATTATTTGAAACTTGCCTCCAGTGAGACACTCAGATTTAAATTCAGAGTTAGATGAAAGTTTTGCAGTGTTGAATCGCGATTATAGATACAAATGCCACATGTATAATATAACTCAACTGAAAATTTGGATCTAACTCTGAACAAAAATCTGAGTATTTCACGTGAGACAAGTTTCAGACGATATCTATGAATGTGGGCCTTACAGACACACATCAGCACTCATGAAACTTACACGAAATTCTAAACTTCGACTCGAGATGTTACTTTAGAAGATCAATGCAAATAGATACCTACACGTCACGTGAAACTACAAGTAGAATTTCGAGAGATCTGTCGCGAATTATAAATCGTCTGAAAGTGAGCTTGAACGCGCTATCTAATTTAACGGAACGAGCGCGATTACGGCGGCAATAATTAGGAATTAATGCCGGCTGCTTCCGATCGATATCGAGAGGTATGCCAACGCAGGAGAAGCGCTGCACATTTGCATTTAAAGCAGCCTGCTCTCCCGTAGACATTGATATATCCCTGTCTATATCGTGGCTGAGATCGACTTTATTTATAGCCGTGAGAGGCGCATAGACGGCTTCGCACGCGCCTTCGAAGGGGGAACGAAGGGGCAGGGGATACGGCAGATCCTTTCTAATTTAAACTCGGAAACCTTATTTCGATGCAAAACCGCGGCCGTCGCTCCGACTTGTAAGAAGCCACCATACCGCAACCGCCGAAAGTACGCTCGTTTCCGGGAACGTAACGACAGACTTAACGATCCTTCGCTTATATAACCGAATGGGCCACTCGACTTAACAGCAACGAGAATTACGAGCCTTTCTTAACGCGTTAAAATTCGTACGATTCGCCCACAATCGGACGCTACCTTTCTTTTTATTATAATCCTCGAGAAAAAGCCAGGCACTTTACTGTCTAAATTTCTTGAAGTGAAAAGTGGCAGTACTTTCACTCGAGGCAATAGTGAGAATACTGTTACTCGAAACCACATGAAAACTCGAAGAGTACATGTTTCATACTCAAGATCGGAGTGAATTTCGGCATGTGAGCGGATGTTTCAATCAATTGTTGTGAATATGTTTCTCTGGCGATAGAATACATCAGCTTCGCTCTTGAATTTCGAATAAAAATATTCACTCAACGATTGGAAAATATTCACTCAACGAAGTGGAGAATTCACTCTATAAGAACAATAAATAACTCGAATTCAAGTGACTCGACGACTGTCACTCTACTTTCCTCGAATAAAATTTCACTTCAAGAAATTTTGAGAGTACCGTTCTCTTTTCATTGTACATTAACAAACGACAATTATGCCGATTACCGTTTCACCAAGAAAGATTGAGGATTATCGTTCTATTTTATCGAGTTTTCGCAAACTTTTTAACGTAATAATTTGACAGTTCGATCGAAAGCTTCGATTATTATTCGATAGAATTATTCGTGCACACGCTCGCTATATCGCAGTTGTTCGCTATTATCGTTACATCGAACAACTACATGAAATACCGCATTTACCTGCACGTGCACGTGAACAGAGTCGTGTTTCTTAGCGCGAGCATGGCCGGCCAGAACTGTTGCTTCACTACTTAAGCGGCGCTCCATCGCAGCCGACTGCAAACGTCCATTTACTACTTACCGAGGTAGTGCCGCGCGTCTGACCATGCATCGTGCGACCTCCACACTATTTAATCATGACGAATCCATCAGGGACTACCGTGATTGTCCATTGACTACGTGCCGATCGCCCACAGTGAGCGGGTTCACATGGCGGATTGCTCACGATGTGCGGGTACTTATTAGCGGCGATCGAAGTTTAATGCGATTATCTGTTGATCTGCGGTTAACTACTGAATGCTGATTGAAAGACTCGGCCTCGCCTCGTATTCCCGATGAACCATACACATAATATCGCTCAGGGGATCATTATGCGTGCCATATATTCGATTCGCTCGTACCATGTGCCTGAGGAAACGCGCACCGCTGCGAGTCCGTCAATATATTCGTATGTTCCTCGCGAAACGTTAAGATAAAATAGAAATACCAGAAAAACAGAAATTTTTCACAACAAGTAAAATATACCGTGTGCTATAAGGTTTTTAATCTTTATTTTCCAATGAAAACACTTTTTCGAGAATTTCTCGAACAAGACAAAATTGTCCTCACAATTTTCGTCTGTTTCAAGACACGTCGAAAGGAAATTCATTGGGATCCTTTTGCCGTCGACTATACACAATTCTCTCAGAAATTTTGCTATATTATTAGGATTATTAGTTTCAAATTATTGAGATTATCTTGGATATTTTGCTACATTAATTCTACGAAGAAAATATCTAGATAACCGTAGTTGCTCTTGATATTACCTACAATTTTTTAAGACTCGAATCTCTATTATTGATGAAATCCGTAATTCGTCGCGCACGCGCGCGCGCGCGTACATAATTAAGATTCGACCATTCGCGCGTTCTCTAATCTTCAAAGCTGCACACATGTGACACGGGAGCTTTAATATCCGAGCGGAATTTCTTCCCGGCTATCACGAAGAAAGTTCGTTTTAAACGTTACTCCGGGGAGGCATTCGCCGGTCGGAACGCGCGGATGCCCGAGGCAGAGAAATAAAAATTATCATCGTCATATGTGGATACCGTTGCGAAATGGCCTGTCACACAAGCACTCCGTCTTTGCATTATTATTTCTTTTACTACACCGGGGTGGCTTTTATCGCCGACCTTTCCATAACACTTTATTTTCCGTAGACGACACGATTTCAGCGTTGCACAGTTTCCCTTGCTTTCTCCCTTTATCGGCATTTCGAAACAACACTTTTGAGACACAAAATTCTATTAACAGGATATCATAATTTATTCAAATCCAAGACAATGTTTTTCTTTCTAAAAATGTACACTTAAAAATTCAATGTACTACTGTGTCCAAAAAGTAAGACTAATTTAAAATTTTTTTTTAAATCTTTATTTATTATTCCAAATCTATTTCGTCGCCTTCAAAGTAATCCCCCTCAGACACAATGCACTTATGCCAACGTTTTTTCCAACCCTACGGTTGGAAACCGTATTACGTGATGCATATAAACCCACACTGCAGTGATAGATATAAACCCACCATCTCATACTGCATTGGTTCTTCGAGACCATTTCGTTAAAAATTCGACCCATATCGTTCCACAAAACCACCATATTCACCTGATTTAGCACCGTGTGACTTCTGGCTATTCCCTAAACTCAAAAGACCGGGGACACCGTTTTGACTCGATTGAAGAGATACAAGCTGAATCGAAGAAAGCTTTGAAGGCCATTCCGGAAATCGACTTTAACAACTGTTTCGAGGGTTGGAAAAAACGTTGGCACAAGTGTATTGTGTCTGAGGGGGATTACTTTGAAGGCGACGAAATAGATTTGGAATAATAAATAAAGATTTAAAAAAAAATTTTAAATTGGTCTTATTTTTTGGGCACAGTAGTATATTATTCTTTAAAAAATTCTTCCTTTTGATAACAATTACTTGCGAGTATTTCCGTGTCATTATTATTATTATTAAAATTTTGAGCAAATTCTGAAATTATTTATCCCAGAAGGCGGAAGAAAGAAACATTACACTGAAATCTCATGTGACCGTCATTTGAATATACGAGCGGACAAGCCGAGCCGAGCCGAGCCGAAGCTCGTCGCGCGCCTCTTTCGCCGCTTTTCTCTAGAAACTTAGTTCATAAACTGTAACGCGATTAACTAGCGCTATCAACGTGACCAGGGCTCGCCCAGCCACCCGTCCGCCCGAAGGGAACGGAAAGCGCGAGAAACAACGGCGACAACGCGACTATAATGCGCGAGCTCAACGTATTTCCCCGACGTCCAACTTACCGCCAGGGCGAACGGCGTCCGGAGGTGGGCGCATTTCTCTGCAACTTGGTAATTGGCTTAGGACGGGACCTTCAACTCGCGAATTTCTCTCGTGAAACCGCCACAACGCGCACACTATGCTCGAAACGGAAACAGCTGCGGTCTCAGAGCGTTAGTCGGCGGGTAAAGATTGCGGGAATCACAACGAACTCTTGATACCTTATAGGCGCGCGGAGTATCCGGACAGGTGTCGTATGAAATGCGCCATTCGCGACACAAACGGTCCGATTTAATGACCTCCTTGCAACTTCTCCTCTATTCAACGATGAATAATGTTCGCGGTAGATTTCCAGGTCTGACTTGCCCTTTTTTTCTCCGCAATATCTTTTCATCCGCGAACTTTCAGCATCTCTCAATCGCGCCTCTACTTCTATCGTCCAATGGACCCTTTTCATTTTTAATTATTTCAATCCTTTCCCTTGGTCCTTCTTTGCAAAGAATAATTAATCTTCCATCGGAGACGGCGTGACGATGTTTCTGCGCGCTTCGGAAATCGACTCGAAGCACATTTTCGCCTGAAGATTTTTCGTGTGAAACTTTCGCAGTAGCTTCGTGTCGTAGAAGCTCTCGATGTCGGTGATCTCGTGGTGAACGACGGCTTCGGTTTTCGTTAGCAACAAAGAATTCCACGGCGCCCACTCGAGCTCGCGGCGGAAGCGCGTCAGCCGCAGCTCGTCGAGGTCGTCGCATTCGGAAATACCGGACTGGCCGTGCCAAATCTCGTTTACCAGGCGACAAACGACCTTAGCCCCGACCACGAACGCCAGACTGCCATAGCATCCTGTTCTGGCCTCGCTGCGCCTGATTTCTCGTAACATCCTCTCGTAAGGATCGTACACCACGCGTGGTTCCCGTCGCGTTCGCATTGACGTGCAGTAAACGCAGGAGGACGACCGCAGCCGTCGTTCTCGCGGAAATTTCTCCAAGGGCAGCAATTTGCCGCAGGTCCTGCAGAGTCGCGTAATGCTTGCATCTAACCAGCCGAATCGTGAATCCTCCTCGAGGTCCCCTGAGGGGGGTAAAAATGATTAATTAAACGCTTAGGACGTATGAAGTGTATACTAGAAACAACAGGTGCAACAGATGTCAATTTTCAATTCAATTCTGACTCACAGGAAGTTTTTTGTTCCGATATCTAGAAACGAATATAGATATGTAGATAGATAGACAGGTAAAGCTTGTCAGATATTTTGAAAAATATTGAGTTTATTTTTTTATTTTATGGATAAAAACGACCCGATAACTTCGAAAATGGAGAATTTTGCTTTCAATTTTGCTTGATTTGATTTAACTCAATTTTACTTGATTTTACAAGATCGAAGTCTGAAAATGTCAAATAATTAGAAAACAGAATTTTACTTGAAAACTTCCGAGAGACAAGTGTCGCGTAAAATTATTCAATAAATCTTTAGGCAACGCTATACGCTATACGCTTTTGATCGGCTTTTACGATGCTGTACATGTGATTTTATTATATAAGTCAATAAGTTAGTCAAACAAAATAACGGCAGTTATATCTTGACACGATAGTATTTCTTTTCGAACAAACAAACAAATAAACATCGTTGCGAACATTCCCAAGTCGAAATTTTGATTCTACTTTCGACCTCAATGTTTCATCTAACGCCAACTTTGATACTCTGAAATCTATATCAATTTCTTTTCATTTTATTCAACCTACTCGTAGGTTTGCCGAAAAATTCTCTTTCTACAATCTGCAGGTTACGCGTTTCCTCCTATTTAGAAGCTACTAACAACTTACTAAGAACTTTAGTTTCTATGTGTGTTAAACATAGATCCTTCAGAATATACAGATGATGAAAGTTCAGGTCGAAAGTAGGACTAAAATTTCAGGTGATTACGTCGGTAGGTATAAGTACGAACGTGCGAGGGTTTGATAAAGACCTTGCAAAGCGTTCCGCGCCAACTTAAGGAAGCTCAACTTCAGCCTGTTCCTCAGCCAGTTGAGTCTAGTCGCGTCCACGCGGCAAGTCAGTAGCGCTAGCTCCTGATCGACCAGGTAAACGAGCTCGAGCGACTGGCTACACGTGTGCATGCCGGCAACGCGCTTCAGACCATGCAGTAGATCAACGCGCTCCGACACGGACAGGTTCTCGTTGGCCAACGAGGCATACATGTTCCTGTGCTGGCGAGCTCGTTGAACGCGCAGAGTGTCCACCAAGATAGGTCGGCCACGGCTATCCTGCCAGGCAACCGGTTTCGACAGCTCATCCAAAAGCCTACGGCGCTTCCGCTCCCTGCACTTGACGCGCACGGCGCTCCTCATAGAATCCATGGCGCGTAGCAGTTCGACTTCCTTGGACAAGATCAAACCGCAGGCAGCGACCCTCGATGAACCGAGAAGTGTGCGACTCGCCCGCTCGGTCTCGAAAATCCGCCAACGGTCCAGCAGATTCCGCAGCGACTCGAAGTCCGTGCTCGTTCGTGGCGACCTGCGATTCAGTATCGTGAAATCAGCACAGCTGCTAAGCGCCTGGGAGTGTTCCGTCCGTGTTCCCATTGCTTTCGCTTTGTCATCTCGGCAAACCTCCACTGCTTGGAGACTGGTCTCTCTATCCGCCGATCGATGAGCTCTGGCTCGATGAGTTCTGCGATCAAAGGGTCTATTATGAAATCGTTGGGAGACTGAAATTACCGATTGAAAACAAATTATTCTGTCTTTCATAAATAGTTCTATCTTTCATATATATCAATATCCTGAAAATTTAGACTTTCACTTTTGAGATTTTAGAAACGTGAATTGCTCGACCAAACCGAAATCTGACTCTTCATTTAATTTAAAATAAATTTTGCATCCAAAATACATTGTTACTTTATATACATATATATATATATATATATATATATATATATATATATATATA